GTAGAAATCAGTATCGTATTTTTCACGAACTAACTTACCCAAAAACTTTTCATTTTCAGTACTTAAATCATCATAGTCACCAATATCAGTCTTACCATTTTCTCTTAACATAGAAATGGCATCTTTGTAATTGATTTTAACCATTTTACCATCTTTTGGTAACTTGAATTCTTCGACTGGATATTGTTTTCTAACAGTTTCGATTTCTTTAGCAAATCTCTTGTTTAATTCACCAAAAATAAATACAAATAATTCGCTTAAAGTATCCATAACTTCATGGTAGTTTTCTTCAAAGGTCATTTCTAAATCAAGACCGGTAAATTCAGTCATATGACGGTGAGTGTTGGAATTTTCGGCTCTGAAAACTGGAGCAATTTCAAAGACTCTTTCAAAATCAGCGACCATCAATTGTTGCTTGTGGAATTGTGGAGATTGGGCCAAATAAGCCTTGGCATCTTTGAAGTAAGAAACTTCAAATACGTTAGCACCACCTTCACTAGCGGCACCCAATAATTTTGGAGTGTGAACTTCGGTAAACTTCTTGTTAATTAAAAATTCTCTGAATAATTGACAAACACCACTTTGAATTCTGAAAATAGCTTGGTTAGTGATAGTTCTTAAATCGATAACACGGGCGTCTAATCTTGTGTCCAAGTTGACAACTGGTAAACCAGCTTTTTCGGCTTGTTCGTCAGATCTAGAAGCATCTTCTAATAGAATTGGTAAGTTTTCAGGAGTTTCACTGATGGAATGGATTTGTGTGATATGAATTTCCAAGTTTTGAATGGTGGCTGATTTAATTGGTTCTTCAACTTTTTTAACTTCACCGCGAACTAAAACAATGGATTCCAAGTTCAATGAACCTGCCCATTTAGTCATCTTTTTGGTAATAGAACCATCTTTGTTACATCTGACTAAAGCTTGGATCAATTCACCTTCTTGTCTTAAAGTCAAGAAAGCTAAAGTGGCACCTTGTTGTCTAGTGTTGTGGACTCTAGCTCTGAATAGAACAGTTTGGCCATCCATTGATTCAGTCAATTCATTTAATTTGATTCTTTTTTCACCAGTAATATCGGCTGGGTTTGATTGAATCAATGGTAACTTACCATAGTTATCGGCAGCAGTATCAACTTGGTTAGCTTCTTCCTTTTCACGTTGTTCTTTTTCCAACTGCAATTGACGAGCTCTTTCCTCCTTCTTCTTTTGCTTTTCTTGTTCTTTTTGTAACTTTTTCAAAGCTTTCTTTGATAATGGTTGACCATCTTCACCTAAGATTACAGGTTCTTGGCCTTCAACAACTGGAGCAGCAGCAGGAGCGGCAGATTCTTCAGACATGATTCAAATCTCTTTTACAGCTTGGTTAGCTTGGCAATTGGGAAACAAAGTAAAAGTGTTATATATGTATAATCAAAATCTAATATCTATATTAACCTTAAGCATTACTAGTTTACTCATAAAAAAATTGTTGCATCTGCATTTGCTAATTAAATTTTCACCATAATGAATTCTCAGTCATTAACAAATGATGGCAAATGGGAAATATTTTTTTTGTTTCGAGAAAAAAAAAAAGAATATTGAAGAAAAAGAAAAAAACAACTATAAATCGCATCGCTACCACATGTGACAATATGGATCACATGTGCATGCAGTTGATATTTTTCAAAAACAAGACAACTTCAATATATTAGCAGAAAGACCTCTTGATGTTGTTTTCAATAACAGAAATAATAAATGTATTTGGACCAAAGTGCCAAATTCAAACAAGGTCAAGAAACAATAAGAAATAAAGATAATAATAATAAAATTTTTATGAATGTGGTTTTTGATTCAATTGAAACAATTAAAACTTCACCCACATAAAAGATTAAGATCACTCGCAGAAATGTTTTGTTTTAGAATGTATTGTTGGTAACGATTGGTAACGACAGCGACCACGTCTTATATGCATCAGACTTTATGAGGTGTGAGTTCTTTTACTAGAAGTGTTTTAAATAATATTAATCTTAATATTTTAACGAGTAAGACACTAGAATATTTTAGTGAGAAAATAACGTATTCATGTTTATTTATGGTTCAAATGCACAAACCCCTCATTCATCTTATACGTCAACAAACAAACGATCATAATTTCACAACTGAGTTAAAAACATTGATATCAATGATTAATAGTGTTGATAGTAATGTTTTTTTGAATTAATTCAGCGTCAAATAGTAAACTCAATTAGAATTCCCCTTGACCTCAATTCAACTTAACCACAATAAATAGCACAAGCAGCAAAATCGGATATAAAACGGGTTGCCATCCTCCCTCGACTTAAAGCCTGATACAATATCCATTACCAAAAAAATTTTCCCAACTCCCATTAAACAGCAAGTGTACAGTTTCTTCCTCATATTGGTTCCCGTATACCTGTTATGGTTTTTGTCTCGGCCGTTTTCCCCATACGTACCTGACGACACTTTCTTGCTTTCTCAAACCTCACGAAACTGCCTTCTATAAATAGATCCTGCTGTGTCTGAATAAACTACGCTATCGCTAATACAAGCACTACAATCAGAGGTGGGTACTGTGTTCAGATACACTTTCAAAGAAACTTACTCTACAAAACAGCGATAAACTTTATATTCATTGTAGGATAGAATCACAATTACTGTAATAATAAATGATACGTTTTAAATTTACAAGTCCAGTCCCGTCTGCTTCATATGGCCATAAGTTCTATCAAATATATTCTATTTCTAAAATCTCTTGCTACCTACTTTCTCTTTTTCTTCTCTTTTTCTTCTCTTTTTCTTCTCTTTCCCTCCGAGCATTTCTCTTTTCAGCAGCAGCACCAGAGAGAGAAAAAAATATAAGATAAATAGGTAAAGGGTCAAAACACTATTTACCATACATTAGCATTTTACCATTTACATATACACTATGTTGACTTCTTTGAAAAACAAGATAATATTGTCGAACGCACTAGGTTATTGAGGTATGTCTTTCGTCACACCTCTACCCAACTAAACCGCTTCACCCCCCCCCCCCCCTCCATCCACCCCACCCCCTCGTCTCCCTGTCGCATCAATTCTCTTCTTGAAATAATTTCTCATATCAAACATTGCACACTTGTCTCATCTGCTGAGCTGAGACCATACACTTTTTCCATCACGTTTGTATCGTATCGTAGGTATGTACGTCTGTGGGATATATATGTCTAAAAATATCCAGTGACGAAACAGACAAAAGAAGGCTCTTGAAAAATTCAGGTTTCCAATACTTCTAGGGCTATATGCAATCACCATACAGTATTATTGCCGTGTGAATACATTATTCTACCAAAAAAATAAATAGACGAAAGAATAAGAGAAGTTAACACTTTTGAATAATGTTAGCATCAATATTAAATAAACATTACTATTATCATCAACATCAACATCAACGTCCACACTGTCATTTATCTTTATTAATTATTTTTTTTTTTGATACATGTCTCTAACTTTAATTAGCTGTTTTTCCTTATTCAATCCGTCAAGAACCTATTGCGGTATAACCACTACCACAACAAAGGTGTGTAGAAATGCTGTTTTTCGCTTATATACCATGTTCGTCCACCCTATTTTTCTCTCGATTGAGCTTAATTCTATTTTGTATTATCTAGAAATTCTATTTCAGTTGAAGTTTAAGTAAAAGTTTAAGAAATTCAAGAGGTTCAACACTCTGTCGCTGAATGAATGAATGAATGTTGGTTATAGGTGTTATCTTATTCAAATATTACTCTCTCACTCACTCACTCACATCCCCGTCTTGTCTTGTCTTGCAGGAATTCTCTTATCTGAATGATCTATTCCATATGGGTCTTTCTCTAATCTCTTAACCTATTCTTAGTCTTATTCTTATTCTTATTCTTATGCTGATTCCCATACTATGAGCAAAAATAAATAAATAAAAATAATAAATGCAGTAGCAATGGGAGTGGCAGCTGTAGGATAACATTTAGCATATCATTAAACATTGGATCAAAATTGAATCAAATCAATCGAATTCTGAAATTTTAATGCCTTTTTTCGTTTTTTCACTTTGTTTCTGTAACCGTACCTTACTTACATTTTGATTCTATCATATTTCTCGTATTGCCAATTTTGTTTGTTTGTTTGTTTGTTTGTCTGTTTGTTGTTTCTATTCTTCTCTGGTTTTCTCTCACTCTAATCTCTCTTACTTAATATTCTATTTCATTCACATTAATTATTATTGCTGTTATTACCATTCTTATTATTTTAATTGTCATTACTAATTTAAATACAATATTTTAGTTTCTATTCATCACCATCATCATATCATCATCACCATCATTTACTTAAACACTTTATGATTGTTTTTTGCCTCCATTCTCTTCTCGTTTTTATTCTTCTTCCTTTATATATATAAATATATTTGCTGATTTATTTATATACATTCATCATAACGGCTTATCATTATTAAATATAGTTCCAACTATTTTTGGTCTATTTTTAAATATTTTTTTGAAGTACTTCACTGGTTTTCATTTTAACTTCAGCTCTGGCTTCAACCTTAGTTGAGTTAAGTTAGGTCAAGTTAACTCAAGTTAAGTTAAGTTAAACTAAGTTAAGTTAAGTCAAGTTAAGTTCGGTCCATTTCAAGAATTGCGAAACTTGTAACACTAATACCATTTACACATTAAGTTTTTAAATAATATTTTTTTGGGTTTAATTCAAATACCTAATTTGGTGGTTTTTATTGTCTCTTCACAATTTTGATATATTTTATTTTATCTTCTTTTTGCAAAAATAAAAAAATAATTCTATTTTTATTCTGTTCTTTAAAGGATATATTTATTAGTAATATTATTAATAAATATATATTCTCTTTGAATAGAATATCTAATGGTGCCGGAGCCTTCTTTGATTCCTCCTTACAATTCGGAGGTGATAGATGTCGTTTTAGCAATATATGACTCCAAATTAAATGTTACAAATAGTTCGAATGTTAAGTATTTACAATTCAAAGCTACCGATGTAATTTATGTTCTTTACAAGCATAATTCAGGCTGGTGGGATGGTTTTATCATTAGTAATGGCATTGTTAAGAGAGGCTGGTTCCCAAATAACTTCACTTCTTCCATGAAGAAAAGACCCTCCTTTAAAAGAATAGCCATTACTAATTTAAATAATTTATCAAACACTAGCACATCACCACCACTTGCAAATGCAAGTGCAAATGTGAGGCGAAGATCATTATCATCTATAGATGAATTACAACAATTTACAAATGTTAAAGATTTAGATACATTCTCCAATCAACGATACCCACCAATTACTACTTCTTCATCTTCTGCCTCCCTAATGCATGATTTAAACTATAATAGGGGGAAATCCGATGAAATCGCCAGTAATACTATTAATAACAACAAAAACGGTAACAGTAGTAATAGTAATAATAATAATGGTCCCACAAAACGTGCAAGTACAGGCAACAGTAGCAATCTATCGAACACTACCTCTTCAACGGCTGTCATACCAAATAGTGAAAATTTAATCAATAATAGAGAACCAACGTCATTATCAAATGTGAATTTATCAGGGAGCACCCCTAAATTAGAAGCTAGTGGCAACGACCAAGAGATTATAAATCCGAATAGTATATTTTATATGAACAGTGCAATAGATGTAAAAGATTGGAGCCAACTCCATCAATTAATTAATACCAATATAGAGATAACCTATAAGAATTTTAAAGATACAAGATTTAGTTCAGGTAATTACTTCAAATCTTTAGATAAATTAACTTCCACTTTTTTACATGTAAATTTGGCATTCAATTTAGTAAAGCCGCAGAATTTTAAGAATAATGATGATTATGATCTTATATGGAATGAAAAAACTCACAAGAAGAAATTTCAGCTTCTACTGAAAAAAATATTCTCTATATTGAGTAGTATTTCCGTTGATTCCACCCTATACTATTACTCATATAGTACAATACCAAAGGATTCGTTGGAATCTCTTTGTAAAGACATCGATACCTCTTACGCAAAACTATCAAATATCGTTCCATTATTGTTTCAGTCAATTGCAAATAATAGCAATAGCAGTACTGGAAGTAACATTACACATTCAAAGGATAATTCACTGGAATTTTCAAATATTGTATTTCCTCAGATAACACCAAGGTTTTTAAGAAACTCCTTTAATGGTGGTTCATGGGTAAATCCCTTTGTTAATGTTAACAAGAGACCGATAATCCCAAATGAATTTATTAATCCAAGTCATTCTAGTAATGCTCCTTTAAAGAAGAAGGCACTATCTTACGGTTCTTCTTCAATTAGTTCCATCAATTCAAGTAAGCAAAAAGCAGTGTTCCCTTTAAATTATGATACACTTTCTCAATTACAAAAAAGAGCCAAACAGGTCAATGATAAAGTTTTTGCAAACCAAGGTGAACATATTGGTGTTTTAGATCAACCAAGATCGATGCAAAGAGATTTAGAAATTAATTTGAAGGCTTATGATGAATTCAATTCCAATTTGGCTATTTTAAGAATATTGGAAGGGCTGGATTTGTCGATATTTATTAATTTAATTTCGTTTACAAGTGAGACGACTACAAAAGATGTTGATGATAAATGTTCAATAAAATCTTGTTTTGATGATGGAAGTGCTATATTTGAACAGGAAGATGACGTTAAATTACTACTAGATGAAGAAACAAAAGAATTTGTTGCGCATGCGATTGACTCTATGTCAACGACTCTAATTGATTTCTTTGATGTAAAACAATTGATGCATGATGTTGTGATTAAAATCATTATGTGTGCTCAACAAACAACTTTGGAAGATCCATTTTCATTTTGTTCAATGAAATCTTCAGATCCCGTGGGTTATAACGAACCGATTATGTCAGTCGAGAAATTGGCAATGTTTAATGATCACGACGAATTATTAAAATCCATGATAGCAAAAGATGTCGAAATTAATATGATTCATTTTACAGATTATACATTAATTTTAAGAGAAACTTGTGAAAGATATGCAGAAATTTCTAATCTATGTTGTATTCATGTTGAAAATTTAATTCAGGAGAGAGAAAATATACTGAATTATGCAGCAAGAATGATGAAGAATGATTTAATTAATGAGTTGATAAAGAATGAACATCAAGATATTAGCTGGTTTGGAAACGAACCAGATAATGAACTCAGTCAATTTACCAACACAGATAATGAATTAGAAAAACAAGCAGATTACCCATGGTATCTAAAATTGGAATATGAATCGGATTTGATTTTAGATGCTAAAAATAGAATTAAAGGTGGAAATGTATATGCATTAATTGAACATTTGGTAAATCATCAATTTTTAGATAAAAATTACAGTGTAATAATGTTATTAACGCTATTATCTGTTTTCAACAAAAAACAATCAGATGAAGAATTGAACAGTTTGAAAGGTTTCATCTACTGTTTAATACATAAGTACAATTCACAACCTCCGGAAGGATTAGGTTATGGAGAATACAATATATGGTTGGAAGAAAAATCAACACCAACAAAGAAGAACATTGTAAAAATATTACACCTTTTTTTCTCAAAATTCTGGTCGACATATTACTATGATAAATCTTATATGAATCAAAATAAGGATAATTTGATTTTTAAATTTATGGAATATGCAGTATATGAAAAGATACCTTTAGCAGAAGAGTTGTTGGATATTTACAAAAAAATTATAGAAAGCAAAGGGAGCTATGCCACTGCAAAGATGACAAATTCATTTGCTGACAGTCCTAAAATTCAATTTTTTATCGATAACATCCAATATCATCATGAAGCTGAACCTTATTCCTTATACGGTTCAAAATCTATATCACAACAGAGTGGTTCTTCGGGTATATTTTTTAAGTTCAACAAGAAATTAAAACTATTAGATATAGATCCGTTTGTTTTTGCCACACAGCTAACCCTTATAGATGAGAAATTGTATACTAAAATTAGCGCTTTTGATTGTCTTCATAGAGTCTGGAGAGACATTGGTAGTTCGTCCTCAAAGAGCATCAGTCATTTTATCTCCAATGCAAACAAGCTAACTAATTTTGTTTCCTATATTATTGTCACACAACCGGAGGTAAAAAAGCGTGCCAAATTAATTCAATTCTGGATAACTGTTGCAATTCATTGTCAGGCCATGAATAATTTCTCATCGATGACTGCAATCATTTCAGCACTATACTCTTCTCCAATATATAGACTAACTAAAACTTGGAAGTTGATAGGTGTTGATCATGTCGAAAATTTGAAAGCTCTGAACAATTTAATGAATTCAACCAAAAACTTTTTGAATTACAGAGAAAAAGTAGGTTCTATTAATAAGTCAATTCCATGTGTTCCATTTTTTGGTGTATTTTTATCTGATTTGACATTTGTAGCCAGTGGTAACCCTGATTTTTTGGATCCTCGATCCACAATAATTAATTTCTATAAGAGAAGAAGAGTAGTTGAAATTATTCAAGAAATTATAAAGTTCAAACAAGTTAGATATAAGATAAACACATATGAGGAGGTTAAAGAATTTATTGTAAATAATACTGAGAACATTCCTCATATTGAAAAACAATATGAACTTTCTTTAGTAATCGAACCAAGATATGATGGCGGAGCAAACTTGTCACCGTCGAATTCTGTGTTTACTACTCACCACCATGGTCAAAAGGGGACAACTTCAGGCACCATAGATCCAAAAGGTTCTACAACTCATCATAGAAGTAAATTTTTAAAAGTGGGAGGAGGTAAAAAATGAAAATTATTGAAAGGACCTAGTCAAATGAAACTAAAAATTCTAATAATAAATATCAAAAAATAAGAAGAAGACCAATTTGATTTATGCGATTTCATATTAGTTGTTTTGTATTGTTTCTGTTGTTGAGTACAAGATTATAATCAGTCGATATAACCACCCTTGGTGGAAATAAACCTATCATTGCTGGTCAAAGGTAGTGTATTTTCTATGTTCCATGTCTTTAGTTTTTTTTAAAGTTTAATCTCACGCTACTAAAGAAATTAATAACGAATAAAAATTTACTGAAAATTGGATACTGAAATACCTTAATGAGATAATTATTTTATTGACGACTTAAAATAATAATCAAAATCAAAATCAAAATTATAATAATAATCATAATAATCATAATAATCATAATCATAATCATAATAATCATAATCATAATCATAATCATAATCATAACAATAATCATAACAATAATCATTATCATAACAATAATTTTAATAATTTTAATAATTTTAATGGTAAAAATTTTGCATATATTTAAATCTTATGTAAATCAATCTCTTGATTTTGAAAAAATGAGTAAGGAAAGAAAGTAACTATTTAGATGAATTTCTTCATCTAATGCATCATAAAATAATTTAGTTTCAGTTATAAGTTAGAAATAGGAAATTATTCTGACATTATTTGAGATACTTCATTAAATTGGTCAGTGACATCAATTGCTTCTCTGTCAATGATGGTAGCAAACATTTCGATTATTTCCGGGTAACCTTGATATCTGATTTTTATCGATCAAAAAGATAAAAAGTAGTAATGTTCAAGAAACTTCAACTAAAATAATCACAAGCCTCTATTTTAACCTATTGAATGACTGATGTTGTAACTGATTGAGAAACAAGGATAAATCGAAGAACTGAGGCTGGTAACTGTGAATACATTTTAAGAAATGTTTAAACAGTTATCGCAGATCGGTAAGAATCTTACTGATGAAATTTCAAAGGGTTTAAATGATGATTTCAACACTTCGCAAGAACAATTGGTTGATGACAACAGTGGTTTGCCAAAAGAAGTTCAGTTAAAATTACGTAAATTTGAAAAGTATGAGCAAAAATATCCATTATTGTTGGCTGCTTATAAAAATGAAAAGGTTAAAATAGAAAAATTTAGTGAAATTGAAAAGGTTTTGATGGAAAATACACCAGTATCTGATGTCGATGATATTGACTCATTATCTTCCTTCTTTACGAATATGAATGAAAAAACTTCGATGTTGAATGACGAAATTAAAAGATTGACTTCATTGAATTCGGAATTAAAAACAAAGAAACAAGAAGAATCGGAGGATAAATCTGAAATAACTACAATTGATGACTTCAAAGAAAAGGAAGAAAATTATAAAAAGAAGATACAAGAATTAACTGAAAGCATAAATTCAGGATTTTCTGAAGTGAACAATGATAACGGATTAAAAGAAAAACATAAAAAAGATATTGATCACCTAACTAATAAGATAAAAGAGCTTGAAGGCAATCTATCAGTCCATATTAAAGATAACGAAACTTTAAAATCCGAGATAAAGGATAAAACAGAGAAATTCATTGAATTGGAAACTAAATCTATTGAGGATAAGCAAAAAGTTGAACTTTTAGAGAAGGAATTGACTAAAAGTGAAGGAAAGGTAAATGAATTAAATGCAGAAGTTAAAAACCAATTGGATTTAATTAAAATGTTAGAAGAAAAGTCAAATACTAAAGATAAGTTAATTTTGGAATTAGAATCCGAAGTGAAAGATAAGACAGATGATGTTTTAAAATTAAAAGCCACTATAGAAGGAAAAGATGAAAGACTTTCGTCTCTGGAAGAAGAAATGACTGCCAAGTCGGAAAAAATAAATAAATTAGAACACGACCTTGAAAAAAATTCTAATATTGGAAAGTTAGTTGAAGAAACTACAAATGAGACAAATATACCAACTAATAATGTTCAATCAACTGGCGGTGGAAAGAAGAAAAATAAAAAGAATAAGAAGAAGATTTCCAATAACAATAATGCCGCAAATAGTAATGATGATTCTTTGCAAATTATTTCACCTTCAGTTGAATCAGGTCTAGATGCTAATTCATCGAAATTTACATCAGAAAAATATAATGATTTATTGAAAGAATATAATGAATTTAAAGAAAAACATACTGAATGTGATAAATTAAAGTTTGAATACGAAACTGAAAAGGAAAAATACGAAACTGAAACTACTAATAATATCAAAGATTTAGAAGTTGTAAAGAAGGAATTGGATTCTGCTAAGGAAGCGTTATCGGTTTCTAATTCTTCTTTAAAACAAAAATCAACCGAGTTAGAAGAAGTCAAAGATATGTTACGTGATGTGGGAAATGAACTTGTTGAAGCAAAAGATCAATTGAAACAGGCAGGTTCCAAGCAAGGCGAAGAAATCGAAATTTTAAAGAAAGATTTGATGAAGTTAACTTCAGAAAAAGAAAAGTTACAGGCTGAATTTGAATCTAAGCAAAAGGAATTGAATATATCTATTGACTCACTAACTAAAAATGTTAGCGAATTAAAGAAATCTTTGGATGCAGCTGAAACACAAAAAAATAAGCTACAACAAGACGTATTGAAATCAAATGAATCACTTTCAAAATTGAAAAACGATAATAATAGTTTATCTTCACAAGTCAGAGAGTTAACTCTGTTAAAGAAGTCAGAGGCAAATTTAAAAACGAATGTGAACCAAAAAGAAAAAACCATTGCATATCTAGAAGATCAAGTCAAAAAATACAATGAACAATCAAATTCTAATAAGACCTCGCTGGATATTATGCAAAAAGAAACAGAACAATTAAAGAATAAGATTGACTTGATGAAAAAACAAAACAATGAACTCCAGATTAGTGCTACTAAAAACAATGATTCTTTTGAAAGTTATATAAAAGAAAATGGTAAACTTTCTGAGAGGCTATCAGTATTGCAAGAAAAATATGATACATTACAAAGCTTAAAGAGTAATTCAAATGATCAAGTGGAATCTATTCAAAGGCAATGTGAAGAGCTTACCGTGAAATTGAAGGAAGCGAATAAGAGAATCTTGTCGTTAGAAGATGAATTGAGTGAATATGCAAATGCAATCCAAGAAAAAACAAGAGAGGCGTCAACTATGCGTAGGTTAATTTCAGATTCTCAAAATGATGATACAACTAAATTAAAAGAATTAAGAGATAAAGTTTCATATTTGAATGATGAAAAGGGTAAATTAGAATCTGAAATAGCATTGCAGGCTTCTAGAAATAACAGGGATGTTCAAGATTTAAAGAGGGCTAATGCGGAATTAAGTTCAGAGATTCATACGTTAAAGTTACGGGAAAGACAATTAATTGATGAAGTTGAAACTTTAAATTCAATGAATGCTAAGATGAAACGTAAGACTAGTCAAGATGATGATGACACTGGGGAGTTAGAAAAATTGAATTCTAACCTGAAGGAAGCGTTGGCAAATTCGGACAAAAAGATTCGTGATTTAATTGAATCAAATGACAACTTAATGAAATTGAATAAAGAATTGAATCAAAAATTTGATAGAATTTCAAAGAATTACAGAACTTTATCCAATCAACTTAACTCGTTAAGAGAAGAAAAGATAAGTAATTCTACTAGATCTAGTAGATCCAGTTCGGTTATTTCAATGTCTAATAATAGTAGCAGTAACGTTAATAATGCCGCTTTGAATCAATCTCAATCATTCTTATCGGTTAGTAATAAGCCAATACAGAGATCTAGTACACCAGTGGAAACACAATCTGAATTAAACGATAAAATTGCATATATCAAAAATGTTTTGCTTGGATTTTTAGAGCATCGGGAACAGAGGGTTCAATTATTGCCGGTTATATCTACGTTATTGCAACTTGATAGCAATGATGAGAAGAGATTGATTATGTCTATAAAATGAAGTACATATATATAATTTATATAATTTATTAAACTTTAATTGAAAAAATGATATAAAGTATATTGGTGCATTTTTAAGATATGTTCTTCTAAAAGTTTTTTCAATTTTTTTTTTAATAATGGCAAAAAGGATTATAATAAGTAAAAGTAAAAGAATTAAATATAAAAAAATGAAATTTTCTGTTGTTCCATAAAGTAGTATCTGAAAAACAGAAAATATCATCCAATTGTGCTTATATTTATATATAAACAAAACCAAAACTACAATTCACCGTTATAATCAAATTTTCTGATGTAATCTGCACCACCCACACATTCGGCGACGGTTAATTGATCTCTACCAATGATATCATATACGTTAATTGCAACATCGACTGTCCTTTCAGCACCATCATGTTCCAAAATTAAACCTCTTCCAGTTTTCATCCAATCCATAACGTTTCTGTAAATTTGACCTTCACTTTGAGATGGATCATTAGCAACTAATTTCCAATCAAAGGTATCGTGATCCCACAATACAGCCTGTAAGCCGAACATTCTTGTAATGGATCTCACTCTATTATCTATTCCTCCATATGGTGGTCTGAACCATTTTGGGAAATGGTTACCAGTGGCATTCATTGCCCAAACTGACCACTCTATTTGAGCAATAATTTGTTCATTTGATAAGCTTGGTAAATATTCATGAGACCAAGTATGAGTACCTACTAGATGTCCCTTGTCTATCATTTTTTTGTAAATATCTGGGTAATGAACAATGTTTATACCTAGATTGAAGAAAGTAGTTCTATGTCTTAAATGCTGAAGCAATCTTTCGGTTGCAGGAGAAGGACCATCATCAAACGTTTGAGATAATTTATAGCAAGTATGGACATCGTCAGGTTCTACGCAGTAATCACAATCGAAGGAACAAGCTTCTCTTGGATTTGCGTCACAATTACCTTGTTGATAAGTAGCATAATTTGGAATTTTAGCCATATCTATGAAATCTAAAGGTATATATGGAGGGTTTAAACCTGGCCATTCTGTGATACCTGTAAATTCAGTTAGCCAAGGGGGAAATGGAGTTTTCTTTAACCTTTCCATACCGATAATATTTGCATTGCTATTATTTAAATCATTTGATAGCATGCCGTTATAGTGTGGGATAACGTTTTGAAATGCTTGTAAATGAACAGTATCATTTTGTGATGTCAATTTCGTTGCATTTAGATTAATACCTTGAACAACTACCTGTAAGGTAACCAAGTGAGTTATTAGAACAGTGAGCAACGTGGATAGTTTCATGGTTCTTTGAGATATTTATTATACAAAAGATAATCAAGCCATATACATGTTTAGATATCTCTATATATACACACATATATATATATATGTATAGGCATATATCATTATTCGCATTTATATATATATATATATATGTGTGTGTATAGATGTGTATGTATGTGTGCGTGCGTGTGTGTTTGTATGAGAATAAAAATTAAAAGAACAAGTGGGTATAAAGAATTATAAAAGAAGTTTCGATGAGGATGGATCGTGATGTGATATTTGTTAAACTCGACAGATGTGACACAAATGGGTTTGAAACCATGTTGTGATGTAAACCAACATGGAAACAACGGTCAATTTTTATTCTAGAAAACAATGACTCTAGTAAAGAGAATGATAGTTAGTGTAATTTAAATGTTGTGTTTGTGCAATTTTTTTTAAAAAACAGTCTTGTTATTTATGTAGTAAGGACAACAACATAGATATCAGAATTTACTGACACTGACACTGACACTGTTTCGCAGAATTTACATCATTGCCGACGAAATAGATTTACTATATATGGCAAACACTGCGACAAACCAAATTTAACCTCATATAGTACGATGTGAAATTTATATATCGGTCAAAAATAAGGGTGAAAGGCCGAAAAATATGGAAGAAAAAAAAGTTTTTGGCGAATTGATTTTACGCGAAAAGAGGCAAAAAAAGAAAGTAGGATAGTCACATGACAGATAGCCGCCGGAAGTGCCTCTAGTCAGAATAACAATCATAAGTTACTGAAACAGTCAACTGTTATTGTAGTCATCAAATGACGATGAATATTTAGTATCTGGATCCACTGGTTTTATTTATTATCATTTCTATGATAATCAGTTATATATGTATATATATTTTTAATTCTAAATCAGCAGAATGAACAAATGAGTAAACAAGAATAATTTGTTACTGATGGGGCTAATACACAAAAACCGAGCCAATAGATCGATTGATCGATTGAGCAATGGTGATGAGTAGTTGATCATAATATTATGAATCCACGAATTTCGAATTCCGTTGGCACTATTTTTAGGGCACATTGGTGTATAAGTGAATGCATTGATTGAACCCATAGATAGCGCATTGGCAATCGACTTACTTTAAACGATGAACGACATATATGTTATGAGAAGGGCCAATTCCAAATGAATAAAAAAAAACAAAGAGCCAATTCCAAAAAGGTAGAAGTAGTAGAGCAATAAGGGACTAGACTAGGTATGACATACGTAATTAACGAGAATCATACGAGGGGACAAGGAACAGATATAGACCGAGGGTTTACCGATGATCGGATAAGTCCATGTGATAGATGGCGCGTGACCATGCAACTATTTTTCTCCGGACAATTTTTAGCTGTGTTCAATGTACGCATGTTCCGGGCTCTTCGTTGGATAAAAGATTGAATTTTTATTTTTTTTTTCTTTTTTTTTACCTCAGTTCCTGTACATGACGATGAATGTGACTCTCTCTCTATCTGTATATGTATGTATGTATGTCTGTGTCTATCTTTTTTTTTTATTTTCGAAGCGAAGGCAAGCATGAAATCAGCTTTAGTTAAGTTTTAATTTTTTTGTGTTTGCGTTTGTATTTTTTTTTTTTAAAAATGGTACTTTAGGTTTACCGAGGATCGGCATATGAGCACAAGTTGACAATATAGATTCATTGGTTTTAGGTTATGCTAGAAGGACGGCGTATATACTTACTACCTTGTCGGACTAATAAAGCATTTTAACCGACCATTCATTCATTCATTTCCTAAAAGCCGATACTACGCATAACAAGAAGAAGACACACGCATAAGACTACTCTTTTTATTTATATTTCAATTACAGACAGTGTAGTAACAAAAACCATTTCTTTTATCTCTCACTGTTGCTGTTGCTCCTACCAGACCAGTAACCCAACTTAGTGGTTCGACAGTGTCTGTTTCTTCTCTGAACATACGACAATAACTCATCCAAGGTTAGTTATTGCTTACCTTTTCTCTACTACTACCGAACAAATGTACATTGGAAAACATTGTAATATGTCTCTCTGTGTTAGTCTGTGTTAGTCTCTCTGATACCATACGGTACCATTCCATATAGCAGCACATCATGGTATAGCATGGTATATAACCCCTCCCCCCTACACTGACAGTAGACCGCAGCCACTGGGAAAATTGGGCAAAATAAAAAAAGAATAATAATAAAAAAACAGAAGAAGAAAACCGTCTGGGTCGGGTCTGCCCAATTAGAAATTTCTAAAATGCGCTTTAAATTTATTTGAACTCATTGGATATCCCACACCTAACTCTTTCTTCTCTTCTTACTGACTTGACTGTCAGTCCCATCTTAAGCGTAGTTCAGTCCAGTGTATCGCAGTACACTGGACTTTTCCTTCCCTTCTTATGTTTCTCTGCTATCTACCGGCTGCTCTCTCTGCTCCCATCTCTAACTCGAAAGAACTCCATAGTTTCAACAGTCATTGTTTTCAAGGGGAGAGAACCTCTCAAGGGAAACACCTTATACCTACTTACTACATATCGCCCAAACTATTGTATACAATATAATTGTACAATTACAATTACAACTGCAACTACAACAACACAATCCTATTTGTGTTAACTCTAATCCATCTTGCCAATTGAAAGTTCATAATAATAATACCATTTATTTTATCTTGTTCTATTCTGTTTTGTTTTGTTTAATCTAGGATACACTCGGCTAACCCCCCTTCCCTCCCTCTCTCCCTTCTCCGTTCCCTCGGTCTGGTATCAGCAACTCTGCTTATATTGCTATTATTCCCAACTATTTATTTCTTTATTCATGCTAACTAACTAACTAACTAACTAACTAGATAGATCATTCCCAGTTTCCATTTAAATTACAGCTTCACTTCCAATCCTCTTCCTCTGCTTGTTCCTTTTGGTCTTTCTTGTTATTACCTTTTTTTTATTTTTATTTTTATTTTTATTTTTTTTAGTTTATAAGGTGGACTAAATTTTAATTTGTTGAAGGTTTTTATCAATTTCAATTGGATTTTGAATTTTAGCTTTTATTTCACACATATATATTATAAGGGATCTTCTGGTTTTACTTTTCTGTCTTGTCTTGTCTTATCTTTTCGTTTTTGTCTTTATTTTTATCTTCATCCTCTTCTGAATATTTGGAATTTTCAATACTCTGTTGGTAAATAATATTGGATCACGTTGAAACAAATATAATAACCGAGTTTTATTTTATTCACTAACGAACAATGTTGTCCGCTCGTACCACTGTTTTGAAAAAACAGTTGAATGTTCGTAATTTGGCTTCTGTCTCTCTAACTAGAGATTCAAAAGTAAATCAAAATTTACTAGAGTCTCACTCTTTCATAAACTATAAACAAAATCTAGAAAATGTCAATACCGTAAGAGATAGGTTGAACAGACCACTAACTTACGCAGAAAAAATCCTATACGGTCATCTAGATGAACCACATACTCAAGAAATCGTAAGAGGTACCTCTTACTTGAAATTAAGACCAGATCGTGTCGCCTGTCAAGATGCTACTGCTCAAATGGCCATCTTACAATTCATGTCTGCTGGTATCCCAGAAGTAGCAAGACCAGTCACTGTCCATTGTGACCATTTGATTCAAGCTCAAGTAGGTGGTGAAAAAGATTTGGAAAGAGCAATTAGTCTAAACAAAGAAGTTTACGATTTCTTATCTTCTGCTACCGCTAAATATAACATGGGTTTCTGGAAACCAGGTTCCGGTATTATCCATCAAATCGTCTTGGAAAACTACGCTTATCCAGGTGCTTTGATCATCGGTACCGATTCTCACACTCCAAACGCTGGTGGTTTGGGTCAATTGGCTATCGGTGTCGGTGGTGCTGATGCCGTCGATGTCATGTCTAACTTGCCATGGGAATTGAAAGCTCCAAAGATTTTGGGTGTTAAATTGACCGGTAAGATGAACGGTTGGACTTCTCCAAAGGATATCATCTTGAAATTGGCTGGTATCACCACCGTAAAAGGTGGTACCGGTAAGATCGTAGAATATTTCGGTGACGGTATCGACACTTTCTCTGCTACCGGTATGGGTACCATCTGTAACATGGGTGCTGAAATTGGTGCTACTACCTCTGTCTTCCCATTCAACAAGTCAATGATCGAATACTTGGATGCTACTGGACGTAACCAAATCGCCCAATTTGCCGAATTATACAAGTCCGATTTATTATCTGCTGATGAAGGCGCTGAATATGATGAAGTCATTGAAATTGATTTGAATACTTTGGAACCATACGTTAACGGTCCATTCACTCCAGATTTGGCCACTCCAATCTCCAAGATGAAGGATGTTGCTGTCAAGAACAACTGGCCATTAGAAGTTAAGGTCGGTTTGATCGGTTCTTGTACCAACTCTTCCTACGAAGATATGTCTCGTGCTGCTTCCATTGTTAAAGATGCTGAAGCTCATGGTTTGAAGGCTAAGTCCATCTACACTGTTACTCCAGGTTCCGAACAAATTAGAGCCACTATCGAACGTGATGGTCAATTGAAGACCTTCCAAGATTTTGGCGGTGTTGTCTTGGCTAACGCTTGTGGTCCATGTATCGGTCAATGGGACCGTAAGGATATCAAGAAGGGTGATAAGAACACTATTGTCTCTTCTTTCAACAGAAACTTCACCTCCAGAAACGATGGTAACCCAGAAACTCACTCCTTTGTTGCTTCTCCAGATATTGTCACTGCTTTTGCCATTGCAGGTGATTTGAGATTCAACCCATTAACCGATAAGTTAAAGGACAAGGATGGTAATGAATTCATGTTGAAACCACCAACTGGTGAAGGTTTGCCATCTAGAGGTTATGACCCAGGTAACAACACTTACCAAGCTCCACCAACTGACCGTGCTAGCGTTCAAGTTCAAATTTCTCCAAGCTCTGACCGTTTACAAGTCTTGAAGCCATTTGAAGCTTGGAATGGTAAAGATGCTTTGGATATGCCAATCTTAATCAAGGCCGTCGGTAAGACTACTACCGATCATATTTCAATGGCTGGTCCATGGTTGAAATACAGAGGTCACTTGCAAAACATCTCTAACAACTATATGATCGGTGCCATTAATGCTGAAAACAAAAAGGCTAACTCTGTTAAGAACTGTTTGACTGGTGAATTCGGTGGTGTTCCAGACACTGCTGGTTACTTAAGAGACCACGGTGTTAAATGGGTTGTTATTGGTGATGAAAACTTTGGTGAAGGTTCTTCTCGTGAACATGCCGCTTTGGAACCAAGATTCTTGGGTGGTTTCGCTATCATTACCAAGTCATTTGCTCGTATTCACGAAACTAACTTGAAGAAACAAGGTTTGTTGCCATTGAACTTCAAGAACACAGCTGACTATGACAAGATTAACCCAGATGACAGAATTGATATCTTAGGCTTGACAGAATTTGCTCCAGGTAAGACTTTGACCATGAGAGTTCATCCAAAGAACGGTGAAGCTTGGGACTGTGAATTGACCCACACTTTCAACAAAGAACAAATTGAATGGTTCAAGTCCGGTTCTGCTTTGAACAAGATAAAGCATGATATGCAACAAAATTAAATGAGGTGACACATTAGTGGGAAAATCTCTTTAATTATTAACTCATATTCACTATATGCCAGTTTATGTTATTTATTCTTCAAATTATTTATTTATTTATTTATTTCTATTTCATGTAATCAACCATTATCAGTTTACTTAAAAGTTTTGAAATTTAATTAATGAAGGTGTTTAGCATATTGTAATATATAAATCAAATATTTTATAGGAGAACTGTTCAATTTATTCCAATTAGAATAGTATAATAGTTCGGTTGAAAATTAAGATTTTATAATTAGAGTTAAGATACAAAATAATGTCCGAGGTTGAAGCTATCACTAAAAATCAATCAGTATGATATGTGAATATTTAGTGCTTTGATTCAAAATAGAAAACCTCTCGAAATAGAATTACTTAACAAACAAATATTCTTGAAATTATGTTATATAGTCAATAAGTATATACTTCGCCAAGTGATCTTTGCTCAATTGAATACTATTAAGCTTGTCTTATTTTAAACCATCTCTATAGTTGTATCCACATATTTCAATTAACAACTCTCACGTAGACGGCCTTTTTTATATGTTGTCTTGTTAATCGATGGCATGTCGTGTATTGTTCTGAATGGTGACCATAGTTACTCATCTTATCAATTATTGGCATCACTAACTGACATCCGTCTCCTCCCCTAAGGGTCAGACCTCCGTTCATCAGATATTTCTTACTTTTTGTTTTCTTCTCTTATATCTGTTTTGATAATTCGTTTATACTCTTCGGGAGCTAGTACTTTCCTTAATAGCCTCTTCAAGTACTTTAACTTGTAACTGTGGGTCTAGGTCATTGAGCGTACAATAAAATTCACTCGTCTTTTTGGAGTACCCTATGAATTGTATTTATCTCTCTAATGATTTGCTCTAACTCCGAGGGCGTCCTTGGCGGCAATTTTGGTTTATTCTTGGGTTCTTAGTTTTTATTCCTAGAACCCAATACTTGTTAATGGATCTACGTGCTTTCATAGTTCTTGATAGATCTGGTTCAAACGCCGCTTCATTTAATCTTCTTTACTATTTTGAACGGTCCTTCGTATAATGGTATTACTCGCCAACATTTTCTTCCTGCATAATAGGCTTTTCCATGTATTAAGACGTCCTCCCCTTCTTCATAATTTATGGGCCGATGGCCGTCTCGGTTGTTTGTTTCCATTTCTTGTGCCAAATGTTTTGCTAATGAATATTCACAGAGAGATATATACCCGCCCTGCTGCCGCTAATTCAGGTGCAACCCTCAGGTTTGTTGAAGTAACACACGTCTACTAGTCCAGTTTTTGGGACAGCCCTTGTCCGTCTCTTGCAAATCTCCTCGTTCTCTGTTTCAAAACACTGCCAGTTGCATTTCTCCCAAGTCGACCTGTAAATCAATAAATTTAAGTGTACGAGGCTAGCCCAGGATATACAGCACTTGCCTTCCTTCTCGTTGTAGCAAGAAGACCTTGCTGACTTAAATCCTTCCGAGTAGCCACATATACTCATGCGAATAGAATTGGAAAATGCCCCGCAGACGTCTGGTCTTATGTCTACACGTTTGTCAGGCTTATTTACTGGTCTTATGACTATCTCATCAATTGAAGTGTTAGGGTCTAGAAGTTGAGCATACTGTTGTACGCGACCCATTACAGTCTGACTCATGTCAATGTTCGTCAAGTTGATGTGCTTCATGAAATCTAGAGTGACATTCCACCATTTAGCCGACAAATCTGACGTTCCGTCAGGCAAATAATATTTACTGGGCGGTTCATCAATTGCGAATTCACACTTCCCGTTTCCAAAATCTGTGAAATCTAAGATCTCAACAGCTCTTGCAATAGCCGCGCTAAATATTAAGGTTACGATGGTTCTATACAGTTTATTCATTTTTTCCTAGTAGTGTTGCTAAATAATTATCTGACGCTATTCCTGTTTTGCACTGTAATGGTTCTTTTTTGTCTTCTGTTCTCTGTTGTACTCTGTTGCGACCCTCGTTCAATTGGGTATTATTAAGTTTGTCTCCTTTTAAACTATTTACTATAATTGTAGGTACATATTACAAACTAACAACTTTTATGTAGATGGTCCTTACTAAATGTTGCCTTTTGTAAATCAACTTACTCGTCGTTAATGACTTTCATTGTTTCTTTTGACGGGTAACCATTGTATTGTTTGATCCGGAATATTAGGAATAAAGTATTAAGTATATTTCTAGGGATCCAAGCCGTAGAAGTGAATACTTAAGTTGATTAGATATAAGCTCTATGAGGTTATAAACTATTATAATAACTATACAGTATTATTAATATATATAAAGATCTCTGTCTCTCTTTTAATAGCAAGAAGTGTGTACCTTATACTTCAGGAACTCCGTCCTTTATATATGTCGCGTTAGCCATTTATTAGCGTCATTGCAATATTCACATGTAAGGTAAATCCTTTTATCTTAATCTTGTCACTTTGTACTAACGCTGAATCAATACACCATAGTTACCAAACTTACCTACTACCTAAAATAGTAATTCAAAATATTTCAAGAAATTAAGCTCGCGTGGCGTAATGGCAACGCGTCTGACTTCTAATCAGAAGATTGTGGGTTCGACCCCCACCGTGAGTGCTTTGTTTCTTCTTTTTTGTATTTTTTTGCGACAGCCAATTTTGCATATACGCTAATGAAGTAAAACTATATACAATTAGGATTGTACTGTAAATTTTAGAATATCAAAATTAGAATTTATTAATGAGATATATATTTATTCTTAATGCATGCATTATTATCTAAACATCATCATTATTATTTTTCATTTTACTCCTGATTATTAAAAGTTTGAATATTTGGATTTGGGAGTATGACCTTGGAATTTTTCCAAATCTCTTCTAGAGATTTTTTATATATATCCACATTATAATCCGCCACAGTTAGACAGCTTTCCATATCCATATCATCTGGTCTAATGATTGCCACCAGTGCTAATCCACGGATCATTTGTCTTAAATATATGATTGTTCCATTTTCTAATTGTGAAACATTTTTTAATTCCTGTGGACGATGAGAACTAGGACCTTTTATACCTTTTTTTTTGTTCGAGTCTGACGGCTTATATAAATCGTATAAATCAATTGATATATCAACAAATTCTGCACATATTTCGTAAACTTGTATATCAACCGGATTTGAATCAGTCGACACATATATCTTGGAATTTATATCAAATAAAAATGCCTTTTCAATCTTCGAATGCTGAGTTAAGTTATCTAACATATTCTCTAAGAAGGATAATTCTGGTATTAATTTCTGCACAATTCTTGAAAATGCTTCATAAATCGAATGATCAAAAATTGATGTTAAATAAAACGATACCTGAGCACCATCTAAACCCAATTCTAGTAATTCTTCACCAGTTCTCCTCATAATATCACGTTGTGCGTCAACTTTAAACTCTTCACTGAGACCATCAACTTTATGTATTAAAACTTCTATGTTAATAGTTGGATTGACCTTGTATGCATATTCCATAATCATCGCTAAATTTGTTATAGCACTCATATATTCATCTTGAGAATCAATGACATAAACCAAAGCGCCCACACTTTTGAATAACCTTTCCGAGTCATAATTAGGTTCAAAATAATTTAGTTGACCAGGTAATTCCATTACAGCTAAATCTATTAGCGTTGAAAAATGTTCTACAGTTGGATTCGAAGTTGATTCTAAATACAACGTATCCAAAGGTTGCATGTTATGGAAAACTACTTTGCAAATTGATGATTTACCACCTCTAAACCAAATTCAATTAAAATATATTGATAATCTTTTGTTAGTATATATTTCCATTACTCTTTCACTAAATTATCTAAGTAATTTATGATATTTATTAAATCAAAATAGGGTATTATATTAATAACATACTTTCTAAGACCCATCAAAAGGATCATGGCTTTACTATCCAATTCAGAACTTGGGACCTCCATTACTAACAATATCGTTAGCTCTTTTTAGTGTCGAACAACTCTCTTTTGTAATCAATCTGAACTAAAATAGTACCATTTTATTTATTCTTCTAGTTCAACTTTTCGAAGTTAGTTTAATTTTTCGGTTTTTCGAGGTTACCTTATAGTTGGCAGATATCAAATATCGAACAAATTGAAAAAATTCAAAATTTTAATCAAAAAATGAGATGAGATGAGATAAGATGAAAAGATATGTGAAGATAGAAAATATTTAAATACTAGGAAACAGTATATTAAAACTAACGATTGGACAAAAGACAGTTGAGCTACAATTAAGAATGTCACAACATAACAATGCTTTTAATCAAAAAAAGAAAGCCATTTTAGATGAAATCAATTCATTGCAACCTGATTTATCTCCTAAAGGTACAATCGACGAGTTATGTCTTCCAATTATGCACTTGATTAATTCACATGATGATATGGTCACTACATCTTCTTGTTCGGGCAGGATAAGTGTGTTTGCAGAGGGATCCAAAATGCACAATGGTCTTCAGAAGGTAGGAGGTAAAGGAGAAGGTGGTAAATGGTTATTTGTTTCTCATGATAATAACAATGTAATTGGATGGCTGGAAACAATTAGCAAAGAGGGAATCAACTTTGTAGAGACCAATATTGATGATTCTACAAACCACTTAGATGGCGGCAATAGATTTATCCTATATAAATATGAACCGTTCATTTTACATGTTAAATGTAGAGATTTTGAGATGGCTTCAAAATTATACAATGTCGCTATGGCATGTGGATTTAGAGAAAGTGGTATCGGATCTAATAATTTGGTTGCTATCCGAATTAATATAAAATTGGATGTACCAATTGGTTACATTGATGAAAATACAAATGATTTAAAATTATTTGTACCGAAAGATTATATCCTGCTCTTAGACAGATTAACGTTAAGTAAATTTGAGGAAAATAGTAGGAAAATGCAAGAATTATATGATAGAATTAGAGTTGAAATTATTGAAGTTCCAAAATCCGAAAGTTCAAAAGTTGAAACAAAGGAAGAACGTAGAGAAAGGAAAATGAGAGAAGGATTAGCAAAACAGCGTATAGCTCAAGAACAAAAAATGAGGAACTTATCAATTGAGAAGGAAATTATAGATTAAATATTTATATATACTATACCAATCTATAAAGATATCGCATAAACGATTTGATATTACAAACTTATTGAACTAAAGAATTCTTCACTGAAATTAAATTAAGGTGAAATACTATACAAATTATCCACTTATCTATTAAAATCGTACAAATTGAAACGTCCTGTGGACAGATATTAAAATAAAAAAAAATGTAGATTAAATGTGAAACGTAAGAATTAGAAATCAAATCCCGAAGTATTTATGAAACTTGATTTAATGCATAACAGTAAATTTAAATTACTTCGATTATTCGTCCTCATCATCAGATCCCATCAATGCACTGAACATGTTTGATGCAGCCATTTGTGGTTGCTTTGGTTCTTCTTTTGTTGGAGTTCTTTGAGAGTGTCTACCAGACATAGATCTAGTGGTGATGAAATTGTCTTTTGAAACAGAAGGTAAATCTCTTCTTGAAGAGTTTCTTGTACCCATACCGCTCATATTACGCTTAGAGCTGGATCTAGAATTCTTGCTCATTTCCTTCAATTGACGTTGTCTTTCCTCTTCGTGAATTTGAGAAATAGTCTTAGGACCTTCATCTTTCTTTAAGCTATCCCAGTTCTTTTCTCTTAATTCTTGTATTTCGATCAATTTAAATTTAATTCTGCTGATAACACTACCACCATCGATAACATGTTGTATCAATTGGAATAAACTGTCTAATAATACAGAACCGTCTAAGGTAGATGAACCTGCAGTGATACTGTCAGTTTCAAAACGTTCACCAACAGTAGTCAACAGTTCAATAACAGATTCTAAGACATCTTCAGATGGATTATCATTCAAGTCCTTCATTAATCTACGGAAACATTCAAACATCATTTTACCAGTTAATAAGTTCAAACGGTATAAGAAACCAATGAAACGAACTAAACCTAAACCTCTTCTCTTAGCAGTTGCAGCTTGATAATACTCTTCGGACATCATTTCGACTTCTAATGGAGTACCATCTTCGTTTGTTGGTAATTTGTCAGTCCAACCTTTTTCAAATTCAGTATGACATCTGACGAATAAATAATGCAAAACTAATTTTGGACCAATCTTACCTTCATTAGTTTCATCCTTAATTTCTGCATCTAAGTCCTTTACTAATTTACCACATAATTGAGCATACATTGAAGACCAGTGAGGTTCGTCACAAGCCTTACGGAACAATTCTTCAATAACGATATTCAAAGTTTCACCATTGGTTTCCCATTTAGATTGATTAGCAATAGCCAGAATTTCAGAAGAAATTGTATCGAATTTTTCTAAAGTCAGTTTGTTCAACAATGACTTCATCTTACTTTGAGCTTCAGCCTTTTCTAATAATTCTGTAACACCGTCTGGAGCAAATTTCTTTTCGGTTTTCTTTAATCTAGATTTTGGAACCCATCTGTTAGCACTTGGAACTAATGGAGCAACTTCTTCCTTAGGTTTTTCTTCCATCCTTTCGGATTGTCTTTCTTCTTCACGATCCTTTCTTGAAGTGTAAGATCTGTTAGATCTTCTATCATCACCTCTTCTTGATCTTCTCTTGGATGAAGTTCTAGAGTTGGATCTGCCATCCATGCTTCTCATAGAGCCGTTCTTGCTAAAGTCACGAGAACTGTTCATACGACTACCCATGCCGAATTTACCATCCTTAGGTTTGTTGGACCTGGCCATACCAGGTGGGATAACGATCTTAGCGGTAGTGGTAGAAGCCCATTCAGTATCTGGTTTAATATTGACTTGTTCCTTAAACTGCAATAAGAAAGCTGGTCCATAGGTATATTTAACAGTTTGCTTCTTGTATTTAGCATCTGGACCTACGATTGGAGCAGGATAAGAGAATGAGTAGATGTCTTCAATAGGTTTTGATTTCTCTAAGATTGCTAAGAAATCAGTCATCTTCATTCTAGTATCTGATTCATCATCGACCTTGGCTGGTTGTTCTTCTGAAGAGCCGCTAACTTCAGCAGATGCTTCATTAGTTTCCGGTTCAGTTTCAGTTTCAGCTTCAGTTTCATTAGAGACTTCTTCCTTTGGCTTTTCTTCTTCTGTGTTTTCTTGAGCTTCATTAGTTTCTTCAGTAGATTGCGATTCTTCGGAGGTAGAAGTAGCAGCTTGTTCAGCTTGTAATTTTTTTAATTTTAACTTTTCAGTGAAGGTTAATGGTTTTTCTTGAGATTCAGATTCATCAGAAGTGGCGGCAGCGGCAGGTGTAGAAGGATTTTGAGCATCTTCTTCTTCTTGCTTTTTCTTTTCCAATGCCAATTTTCTCAATCTGATTTGTTCTAAGAATAATCTTCTTGTCTTTTCAGCTTCAGAGACCTTTTCAGAATCATCATCTTCAGAGGAAGCAGTTTCCTTTGGAACTTGTTCAGATGGTTCTTCATCCTTTTTAGTTATATCTTTATGTTGATGTTCTTGACGTAAAGTTTCTAAATCCAAATGTTGACCAGTTTTTGTAGTGATTTCAATTTTTTTAGTCGGCGAAGAAGGAGCAGGGATTTCATTTGAATGTTGCTGTTGTTGCTGTTGTTGCTTTTGTAATGGTGGAGCATAGTACATTGGCTGACCAGGATAGTAACCTTGCCATTGAGCACCTGGTGCAACATTTGGAGGCATACCATTTCTATAAAATTTATTGTAGTTTTTGCCATTACCATTGTTATACTTGCCACCATTATTGTATCTACTTCCATTATTGTAATGTTTTACATTATTCTGATGTTTTGTAGAGTCAACTGAATTTTGTTGTTGGCCTTCGACGTTTGTCGGTTGCTGCTGTTGTTGCTGCTGTTCTTCAGTCATGATATCTTTAAAACAAAGTTCTTTGAATTAGTAGTATCACTTTTCTTGATTATAGAACTATAATATATAACAATACAGAATGGTACAGTATTGTTAATTAAGATTCTAATTCAAATATAGTAATTGAAACCTTGTATAGAAACGAAGATAAGGAAGAAAAAAAAAAATTTTTTTTGTTCTTCAAATATATCTACTTGTACTTTATAAAGTTTCTGTTAGAATCTATAATTGAAACAGAATTAAATTTTTATTATCTCTCTTCTAGTGATGATGTAATATATTTTTTTTCTTTAAAGATAAAATAATTTTTCAATAAAAAAAAAAATTTAATTTTTGAACTTTATAATCACTGAATGAAATTTTAAAAGTAATAGAAACTAAAATAATTAAGTTTCCAGAGAGACAAGGAATAATAATATAATTTAAAAAAATAAATTAATAGTGTTTAATTTCACTATATTATATTTTAGAAGAGGACAACTGTTAAAGTTCAAATTGAAATTCAATTAATACAATATTATTTAGCTTAATTAAAAAACCAATTTAATATAGTATTAGTATAGTATGGAATAATATAATATAGTGTAATATTGTACAATATAATGCAATCAACACATAGATAATAATAAAATCATTCAGAAACTGTATTCGATGAACAAGCTAAAAAAAAAAAAAATTTAAAATTTTGAATTAATTTTTAATATCTCTTTAGCTGTTCTTGTAAATGTTCTTTATTCTTGCCCTTGTTCTTGTTCTTGTTCTTCTTCTCTCTCATCTATTTTCTTTCACTCTTGTCTGTCCACCTGTTTCTACTTTGCTTGTTCAAAATTATTATCATCTCATACAGTTCGATGCCATAAAAGAAGACCAAAGTAAGCTAGCCAGCTATCATTGGAATGGACGCAATAGAAAAATTTTCAGCTTTTTTTTTTTTTGAAAAAACATTTCGAAAAAAAGCGAAAAACGAAAAACGAAAAAAAACTGACAAAAAAAATTTTTTTGTCTTCACTTTCGATATTGGAGGGTTTGGTAGCGATAACATTCTCTATTCGTGGACAGTGATATACATTTGGTATTGATTTTTTTTTGTTTGAATGGATTGTAGTTGTTACTGTATGGCGTACGAAACGATAGTTGGAATGTGGGATTCGTTCGGATCGGGAGGACTAACGATAGAGAGAAAGGGACGCATGAGATGAGCAGAGATGCGATGAGATGAGATGAGATGAACAAAATGGAATCTAGTAAACTCCAGTAGGAGGATATGAAAGGACAAGTGGTTAAACCTTGTGTTAATGTACGTTTCTAGTATTATACTTCATATTTACTAACATGGGTCAATTACCTGGACACAAACACAGTTAGACTATCACTCTCTATTTAAGTTTGAACCGTAAAATTATCCACATTGTCAACCTGGCTGCATTTTTCCTTTTTGTCGTTTCTTTTTTTGTTGGTTGAAGTCACGTGTTTTAATGTAAGTTTTAAATCTCATAGTTGACGGATATTATCTCTCTTTTTCCATTGATACAATATTTAACATTAAGGATTAAATTATCAGTAGAATAGAATGCACACCTACATACATACTTATACCTGATCCCAAGTTTACCATTAGGTTTCTAATAGTTGTGTCAATTCATATAACAACTACCATTTGTGTGAGTCTGTGTTTATCCCTAATAAAGTTTGCATTGATCATGGTATCCTCAAAGACTTTGTTTGTTACTTGTGGTGCTACTGTACCTTTCCCACAATTAGTTGAAAGTTTGATCACACTTGAATTTATCAATTGTTTGATTTTAAATGGTTTTAATAATTTAATAGTACAATTTGGTAAAGGTTATAACGATCAATTTACTAAATTATTGAAAAATTTAGGCAATGTTAGTTTTGATCAAAAATTAAATTCATTGGATTTAAATGATATTCAATGTTTTGCTAATTTTAAAGATAACAATAGCAATAAAACTTTAAACATCTATGGTTTTGATTTTTTATCAGACATTCAAAGTGTAATTAAACAAAATGCTGATCTAGTAATTTCTCATGCTGGCACAGGTTCGATTTTAGATTCTTTACGTTTAAATAAACCGCTTATCGTTTGCGTTAATACAAATTTAATGGATAATCATCAACAACAAATTGCGGACAAATTCGCATCGATGAATTACGTTTTCTCTACCAAGCCAACCGTTGATAGTTTAATGAATTCTTTGAATGCTTCCCAATCTCATACTTTAGATGAATTTCCTTCTGCTCATAACACTCCATTTGAAAATTTCTTAATAGATGTGTCATTGAGATAACTTCTAACCTCAGCTATACCGAATATAGACAAAAAAGAAACAGCCTCACGGCTGAATGAATTTATCTCATTATCAATCAAAATTATGTGAAAACTAAGTACCGCTAGTGACAGTTAAATTCAATATGGACCACATTAAATGTTTTTTGTAATATATTTTTGATTTAATGGATAACGTTCAAGAGTTGCAACATATCCGTGCGGGACATTTCAGCAGGACATTTCAGCAGGACAATATTGCCATTGACATTCCACATAACCGCAACTTCAAGAATGTTGTTAAATCTATGAAAGAATTCCTTCTACTAGCTTCAACGCTAGGTCTTCGCTCCCAAATTTAAAATTTAATTATATATCTATTATATTATTAAGCTTTTGCGAAGGGACAATCTTAATATATAGAAATGTGTACATATAATTAGGAGTAAGTTGGCAAACCAGCTACACCCAAAATAATAGCATAACCCTGTAAATTACAGTAATGAATGAATGAATGAATCATAGAAGGATTCAGTAATTAGTAATGAAAGGGATCTAAAATTTGTCTATAGAGCATAAAACGTTTCCTGATAAAATATCTATTCAATTGATTTGAGATAGGCAGAAGATCTCCTGACATATACACCCATACAGTTTTCAACTATGTAGCAAGTGGAAATAAAAAAACAAAAACATCTAGAATTACATAACAATGATAAATAGCTGGAGGAAATATTCCTTGACTACGAAGTTAAACGACCAGGGTTAGCACGATATAAGACAAATAAAGCCAAATAAATATTAGTCATTAAAATAATAACTGGTCCTGAATCCTATCTAATGACTGAACTCAAATCAAATCACGAGGCTAATAGTGGTCAGCCACATCCTAGTAAATAACAAAGAAACTATCTCTCTCCCTTCCCTCCGGTAAACCTGCAAGATAAACCAATATGTGTAAAAATAGGTCTACAATTTTTGAGACACATCAAACCAAAATTTAAAGGGTAAATTTTAAATTGAAATTGCTTATCTGCCGTATCAGATCATCAGACATAACAAAAAACAAGACATTTTAAACATATATTCCTCAATTGCTAATTCTTAATTTCTTATTCTTTACAATTTTTTCACTTTAATCCTTAGCATTAATCCTACTCTCAACTTTTATTCAAAGATAATCTCCTACCCCCCCATCTCCCCTTCAAACCACGATATACTTCTTACAAGATGAGTAAGGTGTATCTTGAATATATTTTTTATTCTCATTTGATGAGGTAGTTGGCAATGACAATAAGAATAAATAAATACAGACTAGTGATAATTCCTCTTTCAAACTATGCCCCTTTCACACATATCTTGTCTCGTTCTTTATTGATGTAAGGCTGTGTTGTACTGTATTGTCCGTGCCACCTCATCTCCCATTTTCCTTTTTCCTTTACCCCCGTCTCCCATCCCTTCAAAGATATATCTGTATAATGTGCAGTTTTGAAAGGATAGGAAGAAGAAGAAACTGTTAACTCAGAGAGAGATAACTGCGATTGATAGATAGATAATCCACAACATGTTCGTGTATGTGAAGGAGGTTCGTTAAGTTAAGTTATGGGGTTAGACTCATCTTTAATATTCTTTTGATTAGTAAGAAACATTGAGGAAGAGCTGTTGAATGACAGATTGTTCGATGAGTAAAATTATTGACACATAGCATCAACAATCAGTAAGCAGTCCTCTAAATAATTTAACGAGATAATTTTTACTGCAAATAAGTTTTCGAAATTGGATAATGAGAATAGCCTAGCCCACATTTTCCAACTTTTCCCTTTATTATTTAGACCTTTTTTATTTTTTTCAGTCTTGTTTTTGTTCCAATTAACTAAGGGAAGAGTACCTTTTTAGTAATCATGAAATCAAAAATGCTTTTAGCGATACTTTTGTATTGCTAAAGCTTATTATTCCTATTGTGTTATCGTTGATTTTCTCAGATGTTAACTTAGTTATTTCGATTTGAGGTTAACTAAAGTTTGCTTTTATCTGCATAACCCACATATTCTTAAAGTTAAGCCACACCAAACTAATACACGCCCTTTATTTTTGTAGGGAAACAAATGTACAACAAATAATTTCTTGGCTATTCACGGTATTATATTTTTGCATTTCTTAATCGAAGGAGTGTGTGCAGGTACCTGTTGAAATTAGCATGAATTAAGGTCTATGAATACATCGATCTAGCCTTTTACTGTTCTAGACAGATTAAGAAATCTACGCTTGGTCATCAATTTTGCATGAAATGATTATTTGATTATTTGATTATTTTACGAATATATGTTCTTGATAGTAAAAAAAAAATTAATATATATAAATATGAGGCTTTCTGATTAGAAAATGATATTTCGTTCCTTGATATTGTTTTCATGTTTCTTTATTTTTTTATATATATCTCAATATAAATGAATCAAACATTCATATATATTTACATACTATATTTTGTTACATAGTAGTATTTTCTACTACAAGACAAATTTTAAAGCATCGACATTCACATACAAAATGACTGAACAATTTACAAGAAGATACTCAACTCAACAAGTGAGCAATAATGATACCTGTGAGAGGTTAATAAATGAGATGGAAAGAGAACAAGAATCAATGGTTGTTAGATTATTAAGAGAAATTAATGAATTAAAATTAGAAAATTCATATCTAAAGCAAGAACTTCAATCATTCCGTGACCGTAGAGAAGGTTCTTATACTTCAATACCAAGTCCTCCACAAAGTAGAAATACATCTGTTTTTGATAGTTACTCAATATCCAGTAATTCTTCATTATATGAACCTTCTCTTCCTAGATCCAAAAGGTCAAGTTTATTACTTGAAAATTTAACAACACACCAATTAGACGAACCTTTACCAATCAATACTCATGCTTCAAACATGGCTTTATATAAGAAACGCGGATCTTTCCCAGGACTTCATAATCAAAGTAATAACCCAAATAATTATAATGAAACCCCAATAAGTACTAATAATCAGAACTATTCCTATTCTCCAAGTGAAAATCTCTCAAAAGACATCAATAATAATAATAATAATAATAATCAACATAATAACCATACTTCAGTGGATCCATTAAGAAAAGTGGTGATACCTGTTCATAGACGAAGTTCTTATTTAGATTGTACTTTGGATGGTTTCCCTGCTACCAGTGGATATCTTCAACATGCTGATTTAAACAAGAAGCTACAGCAGTACACAATACAGTAATTATTAAAATTAAAAAACAATTAACATGAATAAGTATTTTTTATGTAATTCTCTAAAATAATAATAAAATAATAATAATAATAATAAAATAATAAGTATTATAAAATTTATTTAAGAATAAGAGTAATTATAATATATTTTTAATATGGTTTAGGGTTTTGAAATCTGTTGTATTTTTGGCCTCTAACGGTTATTTCGCATCACTATCCACTTTTGAGGTTCTTTGGTCATCTCATTATCGTGTTTATCACTTTTCATTTATATAAGTGAAAAACAGTAAGCAAATAACAAAAACATACGAAACCGTCGCGAAAAGTATCGAAATATGTTATAAACAAGTTTCATTACTTATACTTCGATATATATAGTTAATAACTCAATTTTTGGTACCTGGTTACATTGAATCATTTATTGCCAACTGGTTACCATGGTATATTACATGGTACCTAAAATTCATCAGTACAAGTTCGAAACATGTAATTTCCTTTTTTGGAAATTTACATTGTTATATTCGATAAAAATGTAAAACGAGACAAATTCTGAAACGACAGAAAACCTACAATAAATTGACATCTTGAAGGATTTATTAGTACAATTATTGTTTTACTTTAAATTTTGAGTATGAGAGGTGTATGTTATGGGGTTAATCAACTGTTAATCATTTGAGAAAATATTGCATCTATTAGATAGAAGTTACGAACGATAAAAATTTGTTTTTACGACTCTTATCATATAATCGAGTGCAAGTTGATCTGATATTAATTGTTCTGTTTCAACTTGAAAAAGATATGAAATTTAAATCTACAGTTTATCGATGAGGTTTAATGAATATATTGAATTTTAAAATTTTTTTACAATGTCTAATCATCTTCATAACAATATATAAACAGATGTAATATTAATGTGATTACCAATTTCAGTCTTCAATAAAATATTCTAAAAACAAAGATATAACAAAAAACAAAACATTAGTTCAAGTATACTCATACACAATTGAATATGAAACTATTAAATTTGGCTCTTTTCTTCACTTTTATAATAAAGGTATTTTCTGTAGATACTACAACAATTCAACGTACTGTCGTTGTCACTTCAGGTGTATGCCCAGATTGTTCAACTACTACAACAACCAATCAAACTCCTACACCTGCTAAAAATGATGAAATTTGTACCAATTTCGTTACTGTCTATAATACTATTGCTGTCACAAATACCGTAACTCAAACTGCTTCTGTCACCATCAGCGCTACACAAACTGTCCAAACAACCGAAACAAATAAAGTAACAAACACTGTATATCCAACTATTCCAGACACAATTACCATAACTGAAACTGCAACTGCAACTGTTCATTCAACTATTCCGGAAACTATCACCATCACTACTACTGATATTTCCCACTCAACTGTTGCTTTTACCATCACTGAGACAGAAACTGTTCATACTAATGTTCAAGATACCTCAGTATTTGTTAACACAGTTAAAAGCACTAATGTTGTAACCTCAACTGTAATTTATACATCAACTGAACTCATCAAGAGTGAAGCTATCCAAACTTCGGTTGTCACAGTTACTGAAACTGAATTAGTTACCAAAATGAATTCTGAAGTAAAAATTAACGATGAAATGATTTCTTTAACCGCTTATGCAACAGAAACATCTGTTATTACATTGACTTCTAACATTGTAAACACAAGTATTGTCACACTTGCCACTACCCACACAGTTCAATTGAACAATACTAACGTCATTGAAAAAACCATTACTATAACTAATAATGGAAAATGTGTTGAAACTGAAAAATTCAATGCAACTATTACTGAATATGAAACTACTACTATCCCTCTAACTGTTATCGATACAACCGTTGTTACCTCAATGACTGGATCAACAACTAATATCCCAACTACAGTTACCAAAGAAGTTGTCTCTTCTACTGTGATTACAAATACCATATCAACGGAATCCATAAATACAATTTTTACTACTTCCACAAATCTTGTTTCTACAACATCTACTAGAATGAAAACTACTGGCACCACCACAACAGATACCAATACCAATTTAGTTAGTAAATGGATAACCAATCATATTGATTCCACAAATGTAGTTTCTTCTGTCAATGTCAATACTGTATCCACAACAAACATTCAAGTTCATACAACTAACAGTGAAAATACGTCAACTGTAGTAGTTTCGAGTACCAATTTGCACCCAACTACTGAAGTCCATGTAGTTACTTTAAGCAGCGGTACCACATCCACTACTCATTCTTTTGCCATTCAAAGTGAATCATCTACTACATCTGTTCCAAGTCATTCTGTTGCAATTTATGAAGGTTCTGGTAATATAATTTCCTCCAAATTTGCATTCTTGATCTTACCATTAATTGCATTATTATAGGTGGATATAAGTAAGCTACTCAATTATAAAATTTCAGTTCTTCCGTTGATTATTATCCTCAATTATAATATCATCAAATATGCATTTCTATATACTTCGAGACATTTTTATATCTCTGTCGGTCTCTTATAAACAGATACTATATAATTAAATAATTTAAAATAAATAATAATGATTATGAATAATTTTTAAAATGTTTCCGATATGATGAAAACTTAAAACTATCGACATTAATCCATTTTTTATAATGGATGTCATTAGTATACATTCTTCTAATTACTGACGTGAACGCAGTTTTGATCCAGATCGGTTCTTTCGCTACAAGTGCATCTCTTCGTGATCGATGATATGGTTTTACTTTTTTTTACTTGGTTAGTTCATGAAAAATTTTTTTTCAATCAAGCTCATCGCAGAAATTTTTCTACTTAATATAAATGAACCACTAGTTTTAAAGTATGAGTAGTTGGATTGTAATAGTTCATTAACATTGATCAATAAAACTACACAAATAGGACATTCAATAACAAGATGGCTAAGTCTACTACTAAAAAAGAATCCAAGAAAGATTTGAAATTGACTAAGAAGGAAGAATCTTCTTCTTCTTCTTCTTCTTCCTCCTCTTCTTCTTCATCCGCCGAAGAATCTTCTTCCTCTTCATCCTCTTCTTCTGAATCTGAATCTGAAGATGAAGACAAGTCTTCTTCATCCTCTTCATCTTCTGAATCTGATTCTTCATCTGATGAATCTGAAGATGAAAAGAAGGAAGAAAAGAAGGAAGTAAAGAAGGAAGAAAAGAAGGAAGAATCTTCATCTGACTCTTCATCTTCATCTTCTGAATCTGAAGAAGAAGAAAAAAAGAAGAAATCATCTTCCTCTTCTGATGAATCCTCTTCTGATGAATCCTCTTCTGACGAATCATCCTCTGATGAAGAAGAAAAAGAAGAAGCTAAGGACTCCAAGAAACGTAAATTGGAAGAATCTGAAGAATCTGAAGAATCTGAAGAATCTGAAAAAGAATCTAAGAAATCTAAGACTGAAGATTCTAACGATGGTGAAACTGCTACTATTTTCGTCGGTAGATTATCTTGGTCTGTTGATGATGAATGGTTAAAGAATGAATTTGAACATATCGGTGATGTCATTGGTGCTAGAGTTATCTATGAAAGAGGTACTGACAGATCTCGTGGTTACGGTTACGTTGACTTCTCCAGCAAGAGTGCTGCTGAAAGAGCTGTTAAGGAAATGCACGGTAAGCAAATTGATGGTAGAGAAATTAACTGTGATATGTCTACTAGTAAACCAGCTGGTGGTAACGGTGGTGATCGTGCTAAGAAGTTCGGTGATGTTCCATCTCAACCATCTGACACCTTATTCTTGGGTAACCTATCTTTCAATGCTGACAGAGATCAAATTTATGAATTGTTTAGCAAACACGGTGAAATTATTTCTGTCCGTTTACCAACTCATCCTGAAACTGAACAACCAAAGGGTTTCGGTTACGTTCAATACGGTAACGTTAATGATGCTCAAAGTGCTTTAGATGCTTTACAAGGTGAATACATTGACAACAGACCAGTCAGATTAGATTTCTCCACTCCAAAGCCAAACAATGGTGGTGACAGAGGTGGCAGAGGTGACAGAGGTGGCTTTAGAGGTGGCAGAGGTGACAGAGGTGGCTTTAGAGGTGACAGAGGTGGCTTTAGAGGTGACAGAGGTGGCAGAGGTGGTAACAGAGGTGGTAGAGGTGGTTTCAGACCATCCGGTTCTGGTGCCAACACTGCTCCATTAGGTAGACAAAGAAACACTGCTTCTTTCTCTGGCCAAAAGAAGACCTTCGATTAATCTCATATATGAAGATATAGAATATTTACAGAACCGTTTTTAGAACTTGTATGTACATTAAAATATAGTTATTATTTGTATTCCATTTGAAATCTTATAGAATATTTTGATTATATCTGGTGTTTTTATGATTTTTATAAAGTCACTTAAAAACAGATCTGGATTTTATATTGAGCTCGTCGGCTTTTGTGAATCTATTCCATACGTACGTCATTAAATTAAATTTATACCCCCATGTTTGGCAAAAAATTCCATATATCAAACGTCATTCAATAATATCCCCAAGCAATTGAAATTGCAAATTGACTAGATAAAATAAGTTCTATATTTACTACCTACAAAAGAAAATTTACAATAATGATATCTACATCATTAAGAAGTTAATCATACGATTTCTAACAGAAAGAACACATCAAAAATCGCTTAGCTGACCTTAATAGAAAGGGTCCATACCAACTTAAAAGAGAAAACATAGCACTTGTTCTATACATAGTACAAGAGATTTAATCTTGACAATAATATACACCGTATGTTTAATAGGAAGTCAAGTACATATTTTAGATACTACGGAAAAACATTAACACCAGACTTTTATAAAGCAAAATAATGAACTAAGAAACACTAAAATATAAGATATAATCAAACCAGAAAATTGAAAACCTCGAACCAGAAACACAATTTAAAAATAAAAAATCGTAAATAAAACACATAAAAGAGTTGTTGTTACATTAAATTGCCTTAAAGTCTTTATTTTTCATGCGTGGTCTTGGCACCACCAAATCCTGACCTCTTTTTAACCTACTCAACTGTAAACTTAAATAGAGACATAAAGGAAGAGAGTTAGAGGTCTTCCGGTTTCTACAACTTTTCAGTAAATATGTTATTTTTCTTTTCAAGGTGAATTCAATTTTTAATTCTAGTCCCAGCAGTTCAATTTCTCATCTGTTTTTATCCGTAGGCTTCACACTGACAAGAGCTTTTTTGTTTTACCTACTCTATCTCTTGGCTAGTTCACCATTCTACATTTGTTCTCTCTGTATTCGGAACTTTCAATAAATATAAAATATCTATTACAGTTGTAATTAAATATGTCCAGAGAGAGATGATAGAACCAAAAAAGAAAAATCTATTATGTATCGTTATTTTTCCAAGAGTTTAACTGTATAGAAGAAGTAATGGCAAAAAATAAAAAGAGACGGTGAAGTGATTAATACTTCCGAATGGGTTTTCTACATCTCTCTACCTATCTGTCACCCAATTTGGCCAAGAAAATACGGAGCAGCGTTTTCATTCGTTTCAGATGGTTAACGTTTTACACGTATGGCCTCTCTCTGTAAACCTCTATTTATTTCCTCTCTTGAAGCCGGAAAGAAGGTCAATTTTATCGATGAAAGTAATTATATAGTAGTGCCATACATACCATTTCACTGAGTTATAAGTGGTTTGTAGTATAAAGAATACACACAAGCGAACTTGTACAATGGTTAACCAGTTCTTATTACATATTTTATAAATACATTTCTCTTTGGCTTTTATTAGCAGTGATGTAAAAGGTAAACGCAAGGGTAGAAAGAGATGAAAGTAATTCCAGGTTATACTTTAGTCATTGAGAAAGATCATGAGAAAGAGAACATTTGTGGTACTCAAAATGTATTTGGTTACTATCTTCGGTATTTATTCTGATTACAAAATTTACAAGCAAAATAGCGTAGGTTTGCTGTTTGCCTTTCTTTCTTGTTACCAAGCTTAAGATAGGGTCAATTAGAAATCAATATATACCTCATAGCAACACAAGAGTAATCAATGAATGGATGGGACTGGGACACTATTAAATTCTAATTTTTTTGAGGGTGGTGTAGTTTGTGAATAATGTATCCATGCTTTAATTCGATCGAGATAAAAGTAAAAAGTAAAATGGTTCATTTCTCGCAAGAATATATATCCAATCTTAGGTAGGGCTTTTTATTGGGCTCTTTAGAATTTGTAAAAACGCACATTATAAAAAAGAAGGATAAATTTTTCAATTCAGTTCAATACTATATCCATACAACGAACACCAATTTTTTTTTTCAGTCTTGTTCGGATTGAATTTCTTATCCTTTCTTACGCTTTCATCATTGTTTGTCACTGAAGTTGTCAGACTATCTCTCAGGTCAACTTCCAAGAATAAAATATTTTATCACTTGGAATAATATCCGTAAGGAAAAAGAGACCTCTAACTGCAAGATTTATCTATATCTGCATCAACTTCCAATATTCCATATCTATATATAAATATATTTACATTTTCATACCCGTTCTAGATTACTTTATCTGCTTAATTTCTTGAATTGTTCAGTAGTACTGAATTTACACGATGATGTTATTTTGCTTGTCATAATAATTATTGTAGCCAAGCACTTTTTTCTACTTGGCTTTTTCTACAGATACTGGTAATAGGGATAGTTTCCTGTTAGGAAAGTAATAAAGAATAGAAACTTGGCCCTTTCTGTACGTATGTGTGTTTCTCCCTCTCTGTTCACCTTCATATGTATATGGGGATTTTAGATATCATCATTCGTTCTGAGTTTACTTTTACTTTTATCATTAGTTTAAACTAATCAGCTACGTTTACGTTCATGTTCATGCTCTTGTTCTTGTTAAACTTGTTCCCTCTTCATTTGTGGTAACAGTTTTTCACTTATTGCATCAAATTTGCCATGTTCCGTCTGTATCAAACTCTTGGCTCGTACGTACGTAATATAATTTTAATGTTATTTTTTTTTCCTAAACATTACCAGATACACACACACATGTTGACATTATAATGAATGCAATCTAGTGAAACAATTGTAGACACCAAAATTCTTCATGTTTGGATGAACGAAACTCCCACCTTTTCCAATGTAGGTATGGCTATATTTTTGCATATTCTCAATATTTATACTTCATTCAAAACCTTGAATTTTACTAATAATTATATATATATATAAATGTATCTCTGTACTTCTTAGATAATTAAGACTGTTATATTGGTTACATCCCAGCTGTATCAAAGCTAACAATATTGTATATATTGATACCTTTCTTACTAAACAAAAGGAAGAAGTCATAGCACATTGGAATAAACTAATCCTTATAGATCACTTTGCTCATCTACCTTTATTAATAGTAAAGTTTTCTGTTCAAAGCTTAGAAGCTTAGGCAACAGTGACCAAAAAATCAAGAAAAAAAGAAAGGAATTTTTGTTAAGAAAAATTAATTGATAACAAGTTTCGAAATTAAAGCTTAGCCTAACCGATACTTTTGGAATTAGAAATAACAATTTAATAAAGATACTATATTAAATTAGATATATTCATTTTATTTCATTATTATATTTATTATAATTAGTGTTTTTATTTGTAAAAATTGCTTATTTAAACCATGTATCTGCATAATAGCATGTCTTTCCTAAAGGCTTGGAAGAAAGATGTGCCCTTCATGTCTGGCAAGAAGAAGGGAAATTGCATGAACAACGATATTAGTAATATTTTAGAAAATTCAAATGGTACCTCCGCCAATTCATCCATTTCAGTTAGCAATAACACTTCGACAAATAATTTAGGAAATGCTATACGGCAATTTTATTTTATATTGGATGAGCCACATAAAATATGGAAGCCAAATGAAATCGTGTCTGGTAAAATTGTTTTACAGCTTTCAAAAGAAATTCCAAATGTTTCAATTAAACTATCATTATCTAGTGAAATTAAAATTAAAAACATAATTACAACTACATCAAGATCAAAAAATTCTGAAGTTTTATTTGAAAAAAATTCTTATATATATGGCAGAGACCTTGTTAAATTAAAGGATTCAGATGTTTCTGTTGATGATCCATTAAATAATAGAATTTATAACGGTCTAACCAAAGGTGAGCATAGATTCCCATTTAAACTAAAAATTCCTTCTGGTAAGAATATTTTCAGTTCAATAAATTTCGAAAGAGGCGCAATCTCTTATTATTTAAAATCATTCGTTGAAGTATTAGATGAGAATGGTAATATTAAATTGCTATCAAATTGTGACTCTAAGCTATCAGTTGTAGTTCCATTAGATGTAGCTCCATATCGTTCCGAAAGAACTAAAACGGTAGTATTACAGTCTGCTACTGCTAATATTACACCATCAGCTTCAAGACAAGCAAAATCGATAGAAGATGGTTCATCCTCGTTCATGTCAAAGCTAACAAAAACTTCAACCAATTCTAGTTCTTCAAATTCATCAAAACAAAATGGGAACGATACAATTGTGGGAACAAAAACAGTTAAAATTTCAGTTTCAATGCCAAATTCAGGTTATCATATCGGTGAATTGATCCCAATAAAAGTAAATATCAAGCACTATAAAGAATATGGCCATCCTGCTGGTATCATTACTACATTAGTAAGAATATGTAGAGTTAATGGCGTTAACAAAGATGATCCTATTGAAACGTTTAGAAAAGATATCTGTCAAAGTGTGTCCCCTCTTTATATTGATCCAAAAACTCATGAAGCATCAATAACTGTATATCTAAAGGTTCCATTAGATGCGTTCTCTACATTTGTTGCATTACCTAACTTTTTTACTTTTCAATATTATATCGAGGTTTTAGTCAATTTATCAAAGAAGAATGTTGTTTTCACAGAATCTAATAGAATAATTGGTCGTCCAATAGATGGATCGCAATCTGCAGATTTTTTGACATCTAGAATGCCAGAAAATTTACAGAACGTTCAGCAGACCTTATCAAAATTAGTAAGTAATGATACCTATGTTGACAATACTGAAATTGAGTCAAATATCTTGTATCATGATTTGGTCAATATCGAGCGTTTGAAGAGATCAAGAAATGTAGCCGGTATGTCTATTGAAACAGTAATAGGTAGTATTTTAACAGAAACTGAAGAACAATTACCTATAAGCATTCAATCATCACCAAATGAAGTACAACAAAATTTACAAGTTCCTCAAATTCAAATAGAAGAAACAACTAGTAGTGAATCAAGTGAAAGATTAGTCCAAAGCTCGAACGACGGGGCCTTAAATTCATGGTTGACATCGTCTGAACAATTTGAAGCAAATAATCCAGTACCAGTGTATACTCCAAATGAACAAATAGAAGTTTTACCAGATAAGCAAGAATTAGAACAATCTCGTTTAAAGGAATTGGAAAGTGAGCCTCCTATGTTTGATACAGAAGAGTGATTTCAATCAATTCAGAGCAAATAAACAAGATACATGTCAAACTTATAGATCAAAAGAATAATAGAAGGAAGAGAATTTGATTATTCCTCCAATGCATTAGTTAAAATATATTTTACTTAATAATCATCTTTACGTAAAGTGCATATATATATGTAATCATATATTCATCATCATTAACGAATAGCCATTCAGATAGATATTGTTCTTTAATTTCGATATGAAATTTTTCAATATCTTAGAAATATCTAATGAAATATGATTTTAAAGCCTTAAGAAGATGATGAGGTGCATCTTTATTTTTATTCAGTACTTAGTTAATGCTAAGATTTTGCTGATTTTGTTAGGAACAAGATTATTAAAAGTGTGCTACGAACCCTATCCAATTGTTTAGGTGGTTATTGTGAAATTCAAAATCTAACATATTACAATAAGGTGAATAATGAATGTTCAAGATAGAAGAAGACTATTAGGTCCTCCAAATGCAAAGCCCATTGCTTTCAGTCCTAGTATAGGTGAAAGAAACGTCAGTGAGACAAAAGAATCTAAGAATTTAGAACAGCAAGTTACTTTCAATACCGGTCTTATTGAGAATTGTAATGGTTCCTCTTTAGTTGAAGTTATAGATCCAAAGCTTTCAAGACATCAGACTTCTTTGATTACATCTGTATATGGTCCAAGAGCTATCAAAGGTTCATTTACATCTCAAGCTAATATGACAATACAATTAAAAAACGGATCTGTGGAAAAATATAATACTAGTGAATTAAAAGAAATCTCGACATTTCTAACGGGTGTATTCAATTCTGTAGTTAATTTATCAAGATATCCTAA